ATTATAACGTTTCGGCCGTTGAACGCTCCGGCCTTCTTCAGGTGGTTGGAATGTGGAACTGAACCCTTTATTTCGCTCACTGGGTTAGACTGTTCCAGTTCCACGTGAGATATTTAATGGATGTCAGTTATCAGTTATCTCCCGTTAATTCCCCTCTGCAAGTTCTCTACTGTCTTAACCGGGTATTGAACTCACACTCTTTGCGTCCTGTCACTGGATCTACCCAAAGACTTTATTGATGTGTCATGTGTCCTTGTGGACATCTATGTGTGAATTTCTGGGTATTATAAACCTAATATCTTCAGCAACCAAACAACCTTGTAATAAATACATAATACTTCATCTCAGAAATATAGACAGATTCTTCCATGGAGTTCAGCTTTTGTGGTCGGTTATTGAGATTTATTATTGTCGGTCATTTTTATGCCTTTTCCGTTCAACATTGTTGTATAGAACCCACTCTTCATTACCTGTTATAATTGAAAGGAACGGTTAGTCAAGATTATACAACTTTGTGCAAATTAATTGAAACAAAACGAATCTTTTCGTTATTATTTACTCCTTTTTCATATTATTCTAAAAAACGTGACCCATTGCACATGTTAGTCCTTCGTATGTCCATTTGACGAAGTCGTTCCTTGCAGATTGACCACAGATTCTCGATTAGATTTAAATCGGGAAAGTTTCCAGGCCAATCTATAGTACTTTGATTTGCTCACTGGTAAGGCTCGCCAGTGTGTTCGTGAAGCGTTACAATTTTCGTACACTTCCTTGAAGTAACGTCCATCGCAAACAATGGTCGTAGGACAACTCATCGAGAGTCGAGACAATAGTGTAAGGGCGGGATAAAAATCTGATGCAATCACGTATGACGCAATATTTTTCAACGTCAAATAAATTTCATCATACACCCCGAAAATACGTTCATATTACTGCACACCACTGCAAATGACCTAATCTGGGAAAAAATTGAAATCGATTACACCGTGTCACTACAGTGGGTCTAAAACTGACCGTATGGGAAAAAAAGGGAAACTAAAGCGGTTGTTTCAATTAATTTGTGCAAGAGTATATATATATATATATATATATATATATATATATATATATATATATATAATTATTTATATATTATATGCTCGGTACTTATTAGAAGGCGCTCAATATCCTCTGATTGCTGACATGTTTACATTCACGAGAAATTTTCGCTATACTTCCGATCTTTGAATTTCAACATACAAATGCGTATGTTAGACACAACACCACCCATATACATACATATGTCAAATCCGAAACTGTCCACATATGTTTATATATGTATGAGTCCCGACGAACAAGCAAGTGTGTATGTGTGTCTGCGTACCTCATCTGATGTACGGACATGCATCTATGTTTGCGTTAGCATGAGTGACATCACGACGACAATTCCCCCCCGCTCCCATAATAACACCAATACACGCAATCTACATAAACCCAAATTTTTTAAAAATTAATCAGTTTGTCTGTCATCGTAAAAGCGTGAAACCCATGGTCACAAACTCACATCAATCCAACCAAATATATATATATATATATATATATATATATATATATATATATATATATTCCAATTCCACACTGAGTTAGTAATTCAAACTATACTCTGTAAAATGGGTCACCGGTATCCAAACTGGTAGCGGTTCTATTGGTGTTTTACCTGATGAAAAAGTTTTGATGCTTTTATTCGTTTCACTGCTTAAAATATTTAAAAAAAAAAAAAAAAAAAAAAAAAAACTATTTTCAACTCAAGCACGGATATCGATAATAAAAAATAATATCGGAATAAAATTACATTTAAAAATCATTGTTAAGTATTTGGGCAACAGTACTTCTTTATTACATGCTTCATTAAACAAGATAGACAACGTAATTTTGTTTAGCTACTTCCTATATTCCTACTGTACACGAGCCGTCAAAAATGGCGGCAATTCTTAGAAAGTTTTAATATTGAGATTCAATGAAACAAAGTCTTGTAACAATGTTTGGAGATACAGAGTTCACAACTAAAATAAACACTAACGGACAATTTAATTAACCCATTCCATTTATATTTTAGAGGTTCAATATATATAGTAATTACTCTTGGTATTATATATATATATATATATATATATATATATATATATATATATATATTCACTCAGTGTTTAATACAACATTGAAACGGAAATATCTCTCCGAAGAGAAAGATAGAAACATAACGACAATAACGACGACGACAACGCCTATTTCAAGACCAAGTTGAAGCAAGAGAATCACTTAATGGATAAAGGTATCTGAGTGCCTCAGATGAAAGGCTTGAACAAATAAGACTGCAATCTGAGAAATGTAGGAGTAAAGGAACTCATTAATTAAACGGTTTATTTTGTTCTGGAAATAATTGTCTAAACGCAGATTTTTATTTTATTTGTGTAGATTATTAAAACGACTAAGGGAAGTCATCACGCATAAATTTACTAACTAAAGCTGATTTACTTCCCTTCCTACTACAGATGAGACAGAAAATGTATAAATAAATATACTGGAATATATAAATACACATTGATAATTATTTTTTTTTTTAATCATTTCACCCCAAGGAAGGCAACAGAGTCACTAACACACAGGTTGTTACTGAGTGTGAAGGAATATGAGAAAAAACTTATTAAGGAGCAAGAATAATAAAAGAAGAGGACGGAAGATAACGATTGGCATTGTATTCAATTTTTAAAGAACAACCTGACTGGTAAGCAAGAAGCTGGGTGAGAGTTTTCCCAACTAGATGAGCGAGTAAAAAAAAAACTGTCAGCATCGATCTTACGATGATAAAATGATGAGACCTTGCCGACAATCTAGTACTGCGCTTAAATTCATAGCGTCTAGATGACCATAAAGGAGAATTCATCAGAACAATTATCATGAAAGTATATATAGAAAAAAGGCACAGGTAAGCTATGGGAAAGTGACTGAAATCGAGGTACAAGGTCAGCACCAATAACATTGCAGATCCTTCTTTGGCTTATACCAAGAATTTCTAAATAATTAGCAGGAGCACCAGACCAGATGCGACAGCAATTTTCTAAGCATAGACGAATGGTAGACTTGTAAATATTTAAGTTAGTTTGTAGTGAGTAAAATTGTCAAGGACGACACGGTGAACCAATATTCCTAGCAGAAGACCTAGCAATCTATTTCCACATAATGCCAGTCAGCCAGAGAACGTGTCACTCTCCTGGGGCTTAGCGTCAGCCATGCTGACGCAAGGCAGAAAGCGCTCTCTCAGACGATTAATAGAGAGAAGTTGTAATTTGGAGGCGTTAAAGTTAAGAAGCTATTTCTTGCTCCAGTTAACAATTTCTTTCAGTGATTCCTACAACAAACGGTGTAACGTTGGCTAAATGTCTTATCTGAAAACCTGGTTACAAATTAACTCACTTAGTTTTGTTGTTTTTTTTTTTTTATATTGAACATTTTGTGGGATGAACAATTATCCCATTCTGTTACCTGATTTTGCTGTTACACCCGGTATATATATATATAAGTGAACATTGCAATCAACTCTCAGAGGTGACAGACTGTTTCATGCTAAAGGCAATCATCAGGCCACACACACACATATATATATATATATATATATATATATATATATATATATATATATATAATTAGATAGGTTCACCTATTATCCGGTTCACACTCTTTCCCCATCTCTTTGACAAGAGTAGAGATTTATCCATTGTTTCCGCTTTAGTATTGAGTTTCCGTTTTTTTTCTTGCAAATTCTTCTCATTTTCTTACACACGCAGAAATCCATTGCGCTTTATTGAGATTATACTTTTGAAATTATATATATATATATATATATATATATATATATATATATATATTTGTGTGTGTGTGTGTGAGTGTGCATTTAGGCAGCAAATTCTCTTTCAGGCGGAGGTGACTGAATAAGTTACAAACCTTATGTTTGCTTATTTTGATCATAATCCTTTCATATACACGAATATTTTTCCATATATAACAATTAAATTAGGTAAGAAATGCACTGTAACAGTGAGAATCACTTTTACTTCCCAAGTACTTTCTATCTCTTTCTGACATCATCATCAGGAGTGTAAAACTATGTGTAGCTATCCATTGCTGATTTTTTCCTTTTGCGTTTAAATGCTATAGCTGACAGTTATGCTTTAGCGTTCATTAAAACGTGAAGGGTTATCCCGTATTTAATTTTTCTTTTACGTTTGAATGTTATGGTGGAGCGTGCATTAAAACGTGAAAAGTCTATATACAGTTTGGCGCAACGTAATCTTCGGAAAATTTAAGGGCTGGTTTAAAACGGCTTTAAATTTTCATGTCTTTTTTTTTTATTTATCTGCGAAGCTTTTTTATTGTTCCTCTTGCATAACACCATGTGAGTTTATAGCGCGTCGCTTTTACGTTTTTTGTTTTTTTTTAAATTTGGTTTTAATTCCTACATCTGTGGAAGCCAGTGCAGGAAAGTAAAAGACAGGCAGGATATGTAGACGTATGTATGTGTGGTTTTTGTACTGCAGGAGAATCCATTTACCTGTGCCCTTTTGCTTCGTAAATGTTGAAAAAGGATTGGTCCGAACAGGCGTCCATTACTTGATGCTCTCGATTGAGCCCAGAATGCGAAATGAAGATGTCCCTGTGGTTAGTGAGGACATTTATTAAATGACGTTCAACAAATATACAAATTAAAAGAAAAAGAAAAGGAAAAGAATAAAATAAGCACCGAAAATCAAAAGCAAGGAATTGAGAGAAGCTTTGGAAAAAAAAGTGAAAATAAATGCCAGGAAGCAGGTTTAAAGAAAAGGAAAAGGAAGAAAAAAAAAAAAAGAAAAAAAAGAAAAGGAAGACAGAAAGCGGGGAGAGACAGACAGACGAGAAATGAAAGTTGGAAAGAAATTAATTTTAAAAATGGTTTAATGAAAAGTAAAACAATAAAAATAGGAAAACTAAAAAGAAAAACAAATAATGGAGGAGACTGAAAAGCAATTTTGGAAAAAAAAAGAAGGAAAAACAGAGCGGAGAAAGGAAAGGCAAAGAAAAATATGAAGAAGGAGAAAATTTAAAAAAAAAAAAGAGATTACGATTAGGGTTGCAGTTGAAAGAGAAGAAAAATGAAGAAAATGAAGAGTAGGAGTAGAAAGAAGAGGGGCGTAAGAAAAAGATATGGAAGGAAGAAAATGAAAGAGGAAAAGAATGATGAATCGGAGGGTGAAATAAAAGAGAAAAGAAGAAAAGGTAATGAAAAACAGAATAAATGCAGAGGCGTTGATTGAACGAAATGTAGATGGAAGGAAAATAAAATAAAAAAGGCGGGTAAATAATAAAGAGAGGAGGAGGAGGAGGAGGAGGAAGAAGAAGACGAAATAATAATAATAATAATAATGGTAAATTAAGCTAAATAAAAATAGAACAAAAGTAGATGAAGAAAAAGAAAAAGAAGAAATAATAATGATAAATAATGGATGAAACTGAATAAAGAGAGGAAGAAAAAGTAGAAAAAGTAAAGGAAGAACCACAATAATAATAATAATAATAATAATAATAATAATAATAATCTATGTAAAATGTAAGTGATCTTAGTTTTCATTTTCTTTTTTTTTTTTTTTTTTTTACAAAGAATGATCAGTGACAAAATGTCATATAGCCATTTCTGACCTATGGTCTCTGGTTGGGACCCGCAAGCAAATGTGTATACGACAGAAATAAAAGGAAATAATAATAATAGATGAAATTGGAACAAAAATAGAAACTGAAGAAGAAAAAGATGAAATAATAATAATAATAATTATTAAAAAATAGTAAATAATGAAACTGAAGAAAAAAGTAATGAGAAGAAAATGAAAAGAAAGAAAAGTAAACAATGAAAAAGAAGAAAAAATGAATGGAAGTGAATAAAAATAGAAGAAGAAGAAGAAGAAGAAGAAGAAGAAGAAGAAATAGTAATGGGTGATACTGAATAAAAAGCGTCCCGTGGAATTCATGGTCGACGAAAGCAAAGACTGCGCGACGAAAGTGGAAAGAATTGAAGGTGAATGAGATTTCTTGGGACATTGCTTTTTTTCTTTCCTTTTTTTTTACCTTTCCCAGGTGCAACGGGCCGATCGTAAGTTCGCCACAGGAACCAGGTAACACTCGTTGGATCAGATTTCAATCACAGGTGTGAGTGGCTATATTTGGTTTTGCTTCATCACCGCCACCTCCACCCAGCCGCTTGTACTTACCTTAACCTATATACCCGCTCCCTTCCGCCGCCACTAATATACCCACCTCGCCACTCGTCCCACATTCTATTATAAATGTAACCAACAGAGTAGACAAGACCGGACCAGACTCGGCTAGTCGAAAAAGAGAAAAAAATAAGGAAAAAGAAAAGAAGACGATATTGGAGGTGGGGGGGGGGACTAACAGACACACATTTTCATAAGCACTTATTCTTGGACATTCATACTTACATTGGTATGCATAGAGGTAAATATATAATTAAATTATATATATATATATATATATATATATATATATATATATATATATATATATATGTCTGCATGTGTCCATATATATACATATGTTTGTATGTATATATATATATATATATATATATATATAGAAAGATAGATAGATAGATAGATAGAGAGAGAGAGATACATACATACATAGATAGGTGAAGACCACCTGAACTCTTTCAGATAATTAAAATGATGTACAGATCACTTGTGTGACATTATATATATATATATATATATATATATATATATATATATATATATATACATATATATATATATATATATATATATATATATGTACACGTGTGTGTGTTTGCATATGCAGACCCCTAAACGCATTGAGATGGTTATTAACATGATGTACAGATCACTTGTGTGACATTATATATATATATATATATATATATATATATATATTTTAAGCATTGTGCCCCAAGCAAGGCGTGAAGCCACTAGGATGCAGGGGGTTGCGGAAGATTTGGAGCGAGAGCAGATAAGAGTGATAGGAGAAAGGAAGAGGAGAAGGATAGTGGGTAGATCAAGGTAATTAGAGATGTCGATTGACATTACATTTGAATAGTTGGAGATTATAGCTTTCAGGGAAGCAGTAATTGGGGAGGGTGTTCCACTGGCGAGAGGTGCGAGGTATGAAGCTATTGGTGTAGAAGAGACGGCTACATTTGAAGGTTTCTACGGTGTAAGGGTGAGAGCGGGATGGCAGCCTCGTAGGGCGCTTGAATTCATGGACTCTGGGAACCAGAGAGAGCAGCTCATCAGAGCAGTTACCATGGAAGTATTTGTAGAAAAGACAGAGAGAGAACTCCGAGGTAAGCAGAAGGTGCTCCAGCCCATATATGGCAGCAATACTCCATGCAAGGGCGAATGGTTGTTTTGTATATTTGAAGTATCGATTCAGGGGAGAAAAAATTTCCTGGCGCGGCACAGAGAGCCAACTTTCCTCGCGGTGGAAGAAGCAATTGACTCAATGTATTTGTTCCATCTCAGGTCAGCAGTCAGCGTGAGACCGAGCAAACGCAGGAGTTGCTCTCAGGAAGTTGACTATCAGACATTTTAATGGGGGGCAGGGAAGGATCTCTTTGGTGGTTAATGGAGAGTAATTTAGTTTTTGTGGCGTTAAAGTTGACCAGCCAATTCTTGCCCCAGTTAACAACCGATTGGAGGTCCATTTCAAGACGCACGGCAAGGTTAGTTTTGTCGCCGACACTAGACTTATTTTTGAGGCAGGAGTAAATTGTAGTGTCGTCTGCATAGATGCCGACTTGGGAATCTATAGCTTCAGGAAGGTCATTGATGAAAATAAGGAAAAGAGTGGAGCCAAGGATGGAGCCTTGGGGCACACCTGCGTTAGTGGGATAGGAACTGGAGGAGAATCCGTTGAGAACGACCTTCAATTCTCGGTTAGACAGGAATGATTGTATTAGATCAAACAGTTGACCAGTAACACCATACCCCTGGAGCTTACGAAGAAGGCCGGCGTGCCAAACCCTATCGTATGCTTTGGAGATGTCGAGGGCCACAGCACGAGCCTCACCGTTATTTTGAAGGGCTTGGTAGACGGTTTCAGTGATGGCCGTAAGTACATCAGCTGTAGATCGGGCGTAGCGGAAACCATATTGCTTGTCTGAGAGCAGATTATGGGATGTGAGGTGATTAACCACTTCGGCATTAGTAAGGCCTCAGTTCTAAGAGGGAAGTCTGGTATGGGTACGCCGGTGGAGTCGAGCGTTGAATTAAATGAGAATTTCCGAGCAAAGCATTCAGCCTTGTCGGCAGAGGAGGTCAAGACCTCGAACTGGTTGAATAAAGGAGGTATGGAGGGTTTTCGATTATTCAGGACACTCTTGCAGACTCGCCAATAATCTTTGGAGCCAAATTTGTGAGATGCAATACGTTCCTTCATTCGAGCAGCAAATATTGACTTAGCTTCGTTGAGGACACGCTTACACTCGTTACGGGCAGAGGCAAAGAGACGTCTATTGCAGTCAGACATGTCGCTACAGAATCGGTGAAAGAAGTGATTCCTATGGGCGATGGCAGATGAGCAAGCAGCGGAGAACCAAGGGGAGGAGTGCGACTTGACCTTAAATTTCCTTGAGGGGATGAAAGCGTCGATTCCAGCTTTAACCCAGGATGAGACCTCAGAAGCACATTCTTGGACAGGGAGTGTAAAGACAACATCCCAGGGGACATCGCGAAGGAAGTCACGGAACGAGTCCCAATCCGCTCGTTGATAGTAGAACGAGGTTCTTGTGATGGGAGGTTCTTTGCAGGGCGTGGAGTTGAAGGAAACGTTAACAGATACCACAGCGTGATCAGAGTTGCCAAGCGGGCAGAGCTGTGTGGCGCTACAAGATTCGGGGATGGAGGTAAAACACAGGTCGAGAAGAGAGGCCTTACCTGCCAGGTCGAGGGGAAAAACGCGTGGGGAAGTCAACTATCTGCGTGAGGGATTGAGAAATTGAGAAGTTAAATGTTTGGATGCCAGCCCGGTCAGTAGTAGCATTCTTGAGCCACTTGGTGTGATGGGCATTAAAGTCACCAAACACGAATATATGAGCAAACGGGTGGAGAGAGAGGGCCTTGTCTATGCTGTCAGATATGCTATCAAGTATCCCACAGTCTTGAGAGGATGGAGAGCGATAGAAGAAGAAGAGATAGCTTACGGCATTAAGGAGAGATAGTCGGAGACACATGTACGACAGGTCTGGCGATTCGAGAGACAGCTCTCTGGCCAGGGGGAGATGGTCCTTGACATAGACACCAAGGCCGTGCATGTGGGTTAGAGAGTTTTTCCTGAGGAGAGGAAGGTAGCCAGGGATCGAGAGATCAGAGGAGGGAATAGACGAGACAAGGTTTGTCTCACAGAGCCAGTATATCCGGGCAGTTTGCAGTGAGGAAAGATTCCAAACTGCAGAAGTTTGTTCTAATGCCACGGATGTTGGCGAACGAAATGTTGAGGGGTTTAGGTGATTTTTTGGGGCTGGTTTAGGTTTTTTTTTTTGATTCATTTGAGTCTTCATGTTGAGTGATTGTCGGAAGATGAGAAGGCCTGAAGTATAGAGAAGCAGATGGTTATCGACCGCAACGTGAGCAGAGAGGAGTTGGCACAGCCTGCATCATAGTGTGGCCTCAGGGTTGCCCACCGAGGTGACTGCAGGGACACCGATCCATGCGCGTCATGGCACTACAAACACCCCGGTATTATACAACTGTTGATCAGAGCGGCTGCTCAAGACGCTACGCAAGAGGTAGGGCTCTAACTACCAGTCGGGAAACAGCAACCAGTGAACTGTCAACCGTGTACCCTCAAAATGAAGAGGCAATGCCACAGACTGCGCACATCACGGGAGAAACACATCAGTACTAGTACAGAGGCCAGAGAGAGAGAGAGAGAAAAGTGTCGGGAACCCCTTCTTAGACAGGAAACTAGGTGTGAGCCTCTGCGCTTGTCCAGGGAAGGGGAGGAGTGTTGACCGGGCGGTAGGAGGGTCTACCTACTCCTATTAATATATATATATATATATATATATATATATATATATATATATATATATATGAAGAAATATGGATAAATTGCTCAATATCAGAGATAGAACGTCTGTAAATATAAAAGTGAACATTGAAGTCAACACTTAGAGGCGACAGACTGTTTGTATATATATATATATATATATATATATATATATATATATATATATATATATATATATATAGTTAAGTTATGAAGAACTTGGTAAAAAATCCAAAGAGAGCTTAACTTATTTTATAAGGAGCTAATAGTTAAATTTTGGTGAAATAAATTATTGTAATGGTACCTTAAAGTAGATAGATAGATAGATAGATAGATAGATAGATAGGTGCAGACCACATCGACGCTTTCAGATAGTTATTAACATGATGTACAGATCACTTGTGTGACATTATATATATATTTATATCCGTGTGTGTGCATGTGTGCATATATACAGACCTCCTAAACGCTTTGAGATGGTTATTAACATGATGTACTGATCACCTGTGTAGAAATTATGAAGCCTCATTGGGTACTGTTATTCTGTTCCTATATCAGATTAGACGAGATCGAAATTGTGGAATTGAAAGCGATCAGTTTATGGGGCCTTTTCGCCAATAATATTACGATCGATCATCACTGAGTGTCCCATTATTTTGGCCTTGTGTCAGACTAAAGGAAGCTCAATATAAAACATTAAATGAACGCCTGACAGACAAGTTGTCAAGTTAGACACGCATACACTTAGGTTGACGCCCTGTGTCAGATTAAGCACATATTAAATAAATTTAGTGAAAGATTTTCTGTTAGATATACATCTCAAAATATATGAATGTAAATTCAGAGTTATTGAGTTAAATATTCTCTTCGTCGGATGTGCTGGTAGCGTCAGGATTATCAGTTCTCAAACTAAAATTGACATACCGAGTTCAAATTCTGCTTTAGTCTACTGCGTTCATTTTATCATAACTGCTCTTGAAAAGCCAGAAATTCATGTATTATCACCCTATTTGTTAAATTGTAACGTAAATTAGGACCCTTGGGAGATGGTAAAATGAACTACACTATTATTTTTACCCAAAAATCAGAATTTTTATTCGAATAGAGAAAATGAAATCGTGGAGAGTCATGATCACTTTGAAGAGATATGATATTTGAAATGTATGACAATTTCCCCAGTCTTTGATAAATTCAGTTGCTCATTTTTCTTTGGAATAATCTTGAATGCTGATGTTACTAAAGTTTTTCTTACCGTGTCAGATTTCGAGTTTCGATTCTCATTTTGTCCAGAGAATCTGCTTTTGACGCTGTCCATAAATTTCACTTCAGGATTCTGTTGTATTGCAGCTTAGGTGCTGACTTGGCCCACTTTTATTTCCGCAGTTTCTATCACAGTTTACGTATTATTGGAAGGTGGACGCTTCCTCAGTCGGCACCGTTTTGCAGCGTAAAACTGCATTAATTCCTAAATCTCTTATTGATAGCTATATAGTCGATTTTGTTGTAGTTTCTCCTCCTGGGTTTCTGCATATACGTCTTGAGTGTTCTTGAAACCAGCTGTTGGCAACTAACTGATCATTCACCGTACAATATTTGATCCATTTTTCTCCCCTTTCATAAAGAGTTTTCAGCTGGAATTTCTCAACTATTTCACCATCTCTCCTGGCCTTCTTTGACATTCAGTTTTCCGATGATGGTTGCGAATTCTAGTGATTTCCATTGAGCCTTGGCATTGTCTAGATTAAGGCGTTAAATTAAGCCTACGCCAAAAAGATATAGGTTAATATATAACTTAATATGTAGCACAGAGTTAGTCGAAATTGCGTGTAACAGTTAACTTGATAAGCATTGTTAACCATTACTCTAAGCCAATGATTCTTAATCACCGTGAGGCGGCACACTAGTGTGCCGCGCGATCCGCTTAAAAGTGCCGCGAAATATTGTCACAGCATACATAGACAGGATGCCAATGATAAATGGTCGTCTAAATTACGCAAAAATGAAAATAAATGGTGAGAATGGCAGTTCGCTAGACACTTAATTTCGTTTTCAGTGAAATCCCACAAAAATCCCATAGGCGATGCTTAAACTTCCCAAAGGCATTGGTTGCCGTTGATATTCGGTTACCTGTCTCGTCATCTAAAGAGGCAAATGAATTGACCTTACTTCCGAAATACCTGAATGATTTCACTTACTTCAGGTTGTTGTTGCCAACAATAATTGGAACGATTATATATATATATATATATATATATATATATATATGTCATCCATGGACTGACTGTTTCGGCGTATCACACGTCCGGATGCCTCTAGCTAGGATTGAAACCCGGCTGAATTGACGTCAGTCGGAGAATCTACCCCTAAGACGTTGGTGCACAGCAGGGATGAAGGTGAATTTAAGCGTATTTATTCTTAGATAAACTCTCCAGTGAGAGAACTATATATATATAAAATATATATATATATATATAGATAGATAGATAGATAGATAGATAGATAGATAGATAGATAATATTAGTGGTAAATATACATACATATGCAAAATATATAAATACCCATACATGTATATTTTTTGAATAAAAATTCCCAGAGGAAGAATCCAGGTAGAACTCAATGTCCAGGACAGAGTAAATATTAGTGTTTAAGCCTTTTTTTATATATATATATATATATATATATATATATATATATATATATATATATATATATATATATATATATATATATATATATATATACGTGTGTGTGTATGTGTGTGCAGAATTAGTAATGGTAAAGCGTTAGTATCTGAATAAATGAATAAGTATTAAACGTTTTTTTTTCAAATATTTCTTTTCACTATCCTTCGATTATGTTACTTTAAATACTTTGTTTTAATATTAATCTTTTTACCGATCTGAAAGCGCTCGACGGAAATATAAACTATTATTTCCCGTCACTGAGCACAGAAAAATATAACTGGATTGGAAATCCCTTCATAAATGTTCCTTCTAATATTGGACTTCAGTTATGTGAAAAAGAAAAATTCCACACCATTTATAGGTCTGAAAATAAAATATTCGACGGCAGATACTAACACATTTTGGATTTCAATACAAAAGGAGGTAAATTTGTTTTTAACACCTGCGCTAAATATCTTAAAATTTTCCAAAATCAGCAGAATTCTGTGTAAATGTACATGCTGAACTCGAATTAACAATTAAATTATTAAAAAGCAAATTTACCTAAAAGGAATATCCCACATTAGATTTAAAAAGTCTTTATCAATTTTATGGCAATTTTCTACTTTGTATTTATGTGAATTAGGCCCCTCAACCCCAAATAACATTAAAAATAAGAAACGAGTAAAAGTACGCTCAACTAAAGAAGAAATGAGGGTCTGCTTATCGCACACTAGCAGCATGGCCCGGCGTTGCCCGGGCTTGATTAAAAAATCGTACGACCCTTACAGCAATCGCTATCACTTGACTTAAAATATTTTTGCACTTCCTTGCTTTTAAAGGAGTACCCTTTGCCGTGCTGATGTTGTTACATGCCTTACTTCTTGCCTATCTCACACTGCGAATTGTTTCTAAGCTCTATAGTAAACATTAAATATGTTACGAAAAAAGAACTAAACAAAATGAACACAAAACGATCAGCTTTAAAAAATGAACTCGTAACTGGAAAAACCAAATGAAAAAAGAGTGTCAACAACAAATATTTTTCCACACCCAACCCAGTTCTGCGGAATCAGAATCAAAATTGAGTTTAATCAAGCGAATGAGCCAATTGGAGTAAAGTGCCATGCAGATTTAAATTTTTCCCACTTGTGACGAATGCAGCTATCGATTTTTTTTTTTTTTTGCATGCTAGCATGCTAGTAAAAATTCGTGTCAGTCAGCTGTTGGCTCTCACGCTGGCCAGTAGAATCTTCCTGTCTATTCGTTGCAGCCAGCTATAGGCTCTCAATCTGGCCAGTAGAAAATGGCAGAAAACTACATGAAAACTGCCGTAGAAGCATGAAAAAATCGATTATTTCCACTATCGATGGGAATTGGGAAATGCAAAGTCGGCCTTCCCGCTAACTTGGAGCATGTGCATGTAAATTTTGGTGCAAATCCGTTGAAATTTGCGGCCGTGCATTCGTTACACACACACACACACCCTTTTATAGATAGTTTCGACCAAACATTGAAGCAATCGCGAGAAAACGCCAGGCACAGGTTACACACTAAATAAGCTGCACAAATACTTGAATAGAAACATTGAAATAAAGTAAGTTCATATTTGTCTGTGTATTTTTTAAATCTACAGTTTTATTTCATAACATTTAAAAGCAACCTCATTAAAAATTTAGTTAAGTGTGCCGTGATATTTTCATTTGCTCCTAGATATACCGTTGCTTAAAAAAGGTGAGAAACCCTGCTCTACGAGAAAGCGTCAGACTTAAGACTTATTCGAATATGTTATTTTGTTTTCGTTTTCACCCAAACAAGCCTCAAGGGCAACTCGTGGTAGAAGGCTACTACATGAGGTTTGTGAAATTTATGAAATTAACAAGGATAAACAACTATTGACCCTTGACGTGAAACGGGTAATGTTGTTGTGTTCTCCGAAGCATCTATTCTGGGTGGGATATTACTCCATAAAGTATCAGTTCTGAAGAAAAAGCTACCTTCGTACAAAGGGAATATGGAGGAAATTAAGGTGATTTGACTCCATGCAAGTAGTCTGGTGATTCCAAGATGTAAAGCTCTGAACTGGTGAAAACTAAAGACTAAAGCTCATCTGAACATTTACCAAAGAAATGGCGATAGAGTAGTGAGTGGCTTAGCTGTAAAGGTCTGAACTGGTGGAACTAAAGAACGGAGCTCATCTGAATATTAGCCGTGCAAATAAAGGTGGAGCTGTAATAGGCTTGCAAAGATGCGTCTATGTCAAAGGAGCTGTACAGGGCGGGGGGAATGTTTGGATACGAACGCAGAACAAGTATATTATTAATCAAAAATAGAAAGGCGAATGCGACAACGAAATGTGGTTTCATCAGTATTAATTAACATGTACACTGAGATTAATCACAGAAAGATTTATGATCGGTCGTTATAATGCCGTCAACAAATATTCTGAAGAAAATGGAAAAGAAAAACTAACGAAAACAGTATCTGCAAGAATAACTAATGCATATTTGTCAGCAAAAGGGACAATGTTAATTGTGTACTACACATCGGGAACGTCAAAATCTAGCAGTTGCGTCAACTATCTAGTTGTTATAGTAACAGATCATGGAAAATGTGGTACAGAAAGCCGAAGGCACATAGTAATAGCAAATGACGCTTTACAGAAACTAAAGTACTCAAGGATGGAAGAACGTCCCTAGCCATAAAGGAAGGTGTTGTGAACATTTTCTTTAATGATTTCACCCCAAGTAAGACAATAAGGCCACTAAGATACAAGGTTTTACTGATTATGTAACAATAAGAAAAGAAAAAATATTATTAAGCAAGAGGACAATAAAAGAAGAGAAATCAATTAGATAACGATTGA